ATAGCCCTCTTTTCTGAGTATCCCCCTTTCACCCTTCTAGCCTGAGCCCCGTTCTGCTCTGACTCCAGCAGGTAAAGGAGCCCAGGAGACTTGGTCTAGCTCATGGACAAATGGGCATAGGAGCAGAAGATTCTGGCACCCAAGTTTTCCTGTTTTTGCAAAAACACCTGGGGCTTCCAAGAGGTGACTTTCAAAGGTTTTTGTAAGGTTAGGAAACCCAACTCAGGGTGTGTTGGTGGGAGTGGGGAGCAGGTAGCTGGTAATGGAAAATGAAGCTAACCCCATGTCCCACAGTACAAGCCCTGACCCCAGACAGTGAGAGGTTGGGAGCAGATAAAAGGATACCCAAGGGATCCCTTCTCTTCTCAGCCTTTGTTCAGATTATCTGGTGGGTATGCAGTTGTTGGCATCTGAACATTCTAACTTCAGTCCACCTCCTTCTGGAAGCCTGCAAGGTATGGGTTCATCCCTCCAACCCCCAGCGAGCTCCTTCTGACTATAGGCTGTACCATCAGACCTGTTCTATCTCTGGGGCCCATGAAGCACAGACTGCAGGTTTGTCATAGATCTCAGAGCCATGTTCAATCCCCAAGCCTCCCTACAGAGCAAAAAATCCCAGTAGACTCAGATCAGATCCTTTCCTCAGCCATGTCCTAGGCACACAGGTGGTGATCCGTAGAAGCTTGTTGAAGGACTAACCAGAAAACAGACCCGAAGAATGGCAGGTGCTCCTTAAGACAGAATTAGGTGATTTTTCCAATCCACTTTCTAATCAGCTTTCCCCATCCCCAGCTCCTGGCAGTGTGGGTGCTGAGTAGAGACTGCCCATTCCCTTCTGGGCACAGAGCCCAGCTGCCCCTCTTGGATCCCCCAGGAGCAGAGGGAAATATCAGCAGCTACCTTCTATTGCCCAGTCCCTCTCCCAGAATGCCAGGTGTGACCTCACACCTGTAGGCACAGGTCCAATGAGGGCTTTGGGATGGATAAGCCAGAAAGGTGGGCTCCACTAGAACATCCTGGAGCCCTCCCGCTGCCCCAGCTTCCTCATCTTCAGTCTGAGATCAACTGCTACATGGCCACAGAACATACTTTTCTCACTCTGCCAAGGAGCAGCCCACGTGATGGCTTGAGGTTGAGGGAACAGAGATGGCAGCACTTCCTCCAGGTCCCTGCCATGGCCAATGCAATCTGACAGTAAACTCTTTTCTGCCCCAGAGTGGAAAGGACATGGATCCCAACCTGCTTGGGCTCCCTGCAAAAGAAGAGACTGAGTGTCCCACACCAGCCTGATTGTTCCCCAGGTCTCTGGGTTATCCTGGATAGGTGACCTGTTGCTCAGGGACAACTTGAGTCCCTCTGCTCTCAGTCCAGTCCCAGCTGCACCTACCTGAACACCTTAGTGGAGCAGACCCAACTGTGGGAGGTCATGGGCTCAGGGCTAAGGAGAAGAGATGCCAGTTTGGGAGCTGGGCAGTGGTGAGGGACTGCTCAGCCTACACTAGGAAGGAGGGACTCTGTGTCAGTGTTGGAGGAGGGTGGGCACTGATGGGGGAAAATAAGTCACTAAGATTTCAGTAGGTTGGCATCAGATCAAAGACCTGGAAAAATGGTACTTTTGATTATCTAAGAGAACATGAGATAGTGCCTACTGGTGGTGGGATGACCAAGCAAATGGGTAGAAGGGTAGGCGATAGGGTGACATCCATCTCAGCCGGTCAGCCATAGCCTTAGAGACTGGTCCAGCCAATTGCTTCTAGTGCCTGCCCTTCCCTAAGATGTGGGTCCTCTGTCAGCTTCCTTCATGACCTCTGTCCCCTCCCAGCAAAAGTGTTTCTCTTGGCTAGATCAGAGAGCAGGGCAAACCACCAAGGGGACACAACAGATCCTTCTCCCGTTGCTCCTAAATCGGGAAACCCAAAGAATTACAACAGCCTGTGTGGTTACTGTGTGTGTGTCTGGAATCCTGGCAAGCAAGTACAATGAGAGTATGGGACAGTTACAGAGCTGGGAGGCAAGGAGGCTGGAGTGCAAGCAGGTGTGGGCCTGGCCCAGGAGTAGGTCCACTGCTGACCTCAGTGCCTGGAGGGCTCCTGGTCTGAAAAACAAGCCTTCAAAGCCACTCTGACCAAAGGTGCCCAACTGCATACCACGTGGAAACCAGTGTGTGGGGCGGAAGGGGTGGATTCATGAATACCTGAGAGGAAGTGGGTGTGGAGTCTGCATTCTCTGGCTCCTTGCAACCTTCTGGAAAGGTCTTCCTTGGAAAATTCCACCTGGCTACCCCACAGGTTTCAGAAGACCTCAAGAAGGGGCTGCTCACGCATGCTACAGAGAACCATGGAGCAAACGGAGATGGCAGGGGCTGGAGAAGGGAATTAGCAAAAAAGGAAAAAGAAAAAAAGAAAAACAAAACAACACTGGCAAAAGAGTGGCTGGCAGGAAAGGCATGTGTGGATGAATTTTAATGCAATCAGAAAGCTGTCATAATGATAATAAAGGAACACTCTCAGACGTCAGGAGAGGCGAAGGCAGGGGACGGCCAGCCCAGCATTTAAATCAGGCTCCAGCAGGCAAAGGAGGTGTCCCTTTCCTTCATTTTTCTTGCCCTGGGAAGAAATAGAATCTTCAAGCAGGAGGGCCAGGGATGAGCAAGGGGTGGGGCTTCACTTCTTAGTCTGTGGAAATCGTATTCCACCAGAATCTGAAAAAGGTGCCAAGGAGTGGGAGAGTGTGAGGGGCTGCGCTGGGCTGCAAGGGAGAGGAGTTTCAATCCCTGCAGAGAAGGTACTCCAGCTTGCACTTTTAGCAAAATGATACTACTGCCTCCTGAATTCGAACAAAAGCTCCACCCTTCTCCCCGTCTTCACTCACCCTTTCCATCAACCCCTTTCCTCACAAACATCCTCCTACTCCCATTTCCAATTCCCCCCTCTCTCTGGCTCCAGCCGTTCCCACTCTCACTCTGCACTCCACTCCATCCACCCTCTCTCTTTTTTTTCTGGTTGTTTTCCCAGTCCCTGTTCCCCCTACCTCAGAGCCTGAAGCCCTGGAGGGGAGGGATGGAGTATCAGAGCCCGGGAAAGCAGCCAAGGTAGCAGTGGGCATTTGGGCACAGGCTGCAGGACCCAGAGTTTGGCTGAAGCCTCATTAGACTGCAGGGCCAGGCTGGTGTCTGCTGACCCCAACTAGAGACAGGAACCAAACAGAACCCTGCAGGACACAGGAAGAGTCAGGACCCAGTGTCACCTGACAGTGGAACCCAGTGCTGGCTGCTACTGGGCTGAGGGACCAACTGGCCAAGGTCAGGGCTTCCTGAGCTGGAGGACCCTGGGGTAGTTTAGGAAGGAATATAGAGAGTCATCAACATACCCTTGACTCTGCTATATGCCCAGGACAGTCACTCAGCTGCAGGAACTCCCCTGATGGAGTAGACAGGTGAGCAATGCCTTCAGGGTAAGAGCAACCAATCTCTCAGAGTGCAGAAGGATGTGGGGTCATGGGTGCCCTTGTGATCACAAGCAACCATGAGCATGAACGTGGCCGTGTGCTGGGACTTTGATGGCCTTGGCCATGTGTCCATCATTAGGGATCCACAAACATGTAGCAAGTGCCCACTGTGTACTGTCACAACCAGATGCTGTCCTAGTGACTACTGGCTGCATGCCAGTTCAGCGCACCCCAACTGTTTAAAACAGCCATTCATGGACTGGGACGGTGAGTCACAGGGCCAGTGTGGGAGGCCTGTCTGCTCCAGGACATCAGGCTCCAGGTGTAAGTCCCATCAGCCGGGAACCAGCCTTATCTGAGAACTCTCCGGCTCCCACATCAGGTGATCGGTGTGGGCTATGAGCCAGGGCCACAGTTCCTCTCCACCTGTGGCTTCTTTTCCTTGTGGCCCGCCCCCTGGGGGGGTTCTCTAACAGCATGACACTGGCTTCCCTCCCAGAGCAAACACCCCTGTTCCCCACAAAGAGTGGAAGCCAATTCCTTTTAGCACCGGGCTTCATCTGGGTCAGGAATTGTTACAGCAGTCACGCAGAGGGAAGAGCGGACTCCACCTGCCACTGAGAGGAATGAAAACCATGCTGACGCACTAGCACGTGGCTGGAAGGCCCTTCTGCAGGCACTTCCCCAAGCTGTTCCAGATCCACACTCCAGTGCCCCCTGCCACTCCCATCCTCCTCACTGGTGCCTGGGGGCTAAGGATGACTGCTCAGCCTGGACCAACAGGCAAGGCCAGATGAAGATAAAACCTGGCAAGACAGAAAAAAGGTGGGACCACGGAATGGCCCTGAACACACCTTCTTTCAAACTCTGCTTTCCCTAACTGGCCCGAGGGCCACTGTAAAGCTGGGTCTGCTTCCCCAGGGAGTGGATTGGTGGAAGAGGTGAAGGAAGGGAGCCAGCCAGCTACAATCTGTACCTACCTGCAGGCTGTAGGGACAGGCAAAGGAGGCAGAGCACATTGGAGAGGGGACCACATTTCAACTGAGCCATGAAAGAGGAAGCAACAGTGACATGGAGAGGAGGCGAGAGCACAAGGAGTAAATGCAAAGGGGGGGGTCGGGGGGGAGAGGGAGGGGAGGCAGGGGAGGCAGGGAGCACAGACCTGGCAGCTGAGGAGGATTTAGGAGGAAGGAGGAAGTCAAGTCAAGACGACCAAAAGCTTCTCAACGGGTCCAGTGCCCTGTGTGCCCGCCCTGCAGGCAGGCGGAGGCCTAGTCGCTGCAACCCGGCTCCTGCATGCTACAGCTCCTTGCCCTCCAGCTTATCAACCCAATTCCAATTCCTGCTTTGGTCCCTGGCCTCTCCCCTTCCCAGCCTTCCGTCCAGTTATTCCCTATCCTCCAGCCCCCAATTGCGCTTCCCCTACCCGTTCCAGCGGTGCCTTTCTCTTCCCATTTCCCTCTCTCTCCCGCCTCCCGCCCCCCTCCCCGGGTCCGCCTCTGCGCTGCCCGGCCCCAGGCCCGGGTAAGCATCTCCTAATTTTGTTCTAGAAGATAGAAAACTCTTCGTGGGCATGCTCAACAAGCAGCAGTCCGAGGACGACGTACGCCGCCTCTTCGAGGCCTTCGGCAACATCGAGGAGTGCACGATCCTGCGTGGGCCCGACGGCAACAGCAAGGGTGCGCGGGGCGGGGCCTCGGGGGTGGGGCCTTTGGGAGAGCTAGGGCGAGCTAGTGCCCGGCCACCACGAGGCGCTCCAAGTCTGAACTGGCAGGAGCGGTGTCACTGGGTGTCTCTGTTGTCCTTTTCTGATCCTGAAGTCTCATCCACTCTCCTCTCCTTGGGGGCCTTGACCCCTTGGGCTCTGATGGGCGGCGCTCCGGTGCCGGGGCGAGGCTCAGCCTGTTGTGTTTCCGCAGGGTGCGCCTTCGTGAAGTACTCGTCCCACGCCGAGGCGCAGGCCGCCATCAACGCGCTCCACGGCAGCCAGACCATGCCGGTAAGTGCGCGTTCCTGCGGTGGGACCAGGCAGCGCCCTTCATACCTCTCCCCGCCCTGCCCGGTCCGCGTTGTGCTGGCTCCTAATGCAGGAACGCTCAGCTTCTACTCCCTCGTCTCAGACTCGGGGCGCTGAGGCCCAGGCCCCTTGAGAACCCGGCCTGGAATCTCCCAGATAGAAAAAGCCTACCACGCAGGGGTTGCCTCCTGGTGGTTCCCATTCCTCTTGGTTGCCTGCACCATGCGCCTGTTGCATGGCGCCTCCCTGCAGAAGAAGCAGGATGGGCCCAGAGGTCCTGGGGCAGGTGGGCCTCACGCACCACCCCGGGGGCCGCAGGGAGCTTCGTCCAGCCTGGTGGTCAAGTTTGCTGACACGGACAAGGAGCGCACGATGCGGCGGATGCAGCAGATGGCTGGCCAGATGGGCATGTTCAACCCCATGGCCATTCCGTTTGGGGCCTACGGCGCCTATGCCCAGGCAGTAAGTGGGGGCAAGGACCGGGGGTGGATTCTGGAGCTCACTCCCTCCTCAGGGGCCCTGCGTGAAGGGGTAGGAGAAGGCTGGTCCAGTTGTAGTGGGGGCAGTTGCTGCTATGCCAGGAGGGCCACCATCATGCTTCTTAAGGGAGGCACTGGAGGGAAGGCTGTTGAGCGGGGCAGCAAGATGGGGAGGCTGAGCAACCCTCAGTCCATGGGTGGTGTTCAGGTGCCCCTAACCCGGCCCCGACCTCAGGGCAGATGTCCTCAGGACTTATGGTCACTCCTGGCAGAGGTCCTGTGGATGCCCCCCAGCCCTTCTCCCACAGTCCCCCTCCTCCCTCATTAGAACCTACTCTGCCACAACTGTCCAGGCAGCCTCTGGCTTGTGCCACAGCCCTGCTATGGGTGGTACTGAGGTTGGTCATAAGAATGTTGGCTTACCTCATCCTCCTCACAAGTGTACAGCCTTGGCCACTTTCAGAAGCCTTCCCTGTCCCCTTTCATCCTGGTGACATTGGGGATACCTATGGTTCCAGGCACATGTGCCCAGCAGACTCTAGATTAAAGCCATTTTGGACAAGTACCTATGCTAAGTTAATCTGACAGAGGCTGCCCCAACATGCCTATGGCTCTTGGGTGTCACAGCCCCATGAGTGTCTGGCCTTGTTCAAGGGGGCAGATCAGCACCTGCAGATCCAGTCCCCCTCTCTTCCTTAGCAGTGCTGAGTCTGAGTCTCAGCTACTTCTGAGTGCAGCTGACTTTCTAAAATGCCATAAGGACCGAGGCAGGCACTGGAGCTCTCTAGAGGTGGTGGCTGGGTGTCTGGGCTCCCTGGGGCTCAGGGCCTGGGAGTTTGGTCTCTAGGAGCTGAGCCCCTCCACCCAGCAGGGAGGGATTCCTTCTGGAAGCACGTGATATTTTTTCCACTCCCTCTGCCCCAGCTGATGCAGCAGCAAGCGGCCCTCATGGCATCAGTCGCTCAGGGGGGCTACCTGAACCCCATGGCTGCCTTCGCTGCCGCCCAGATGCAGCAGATGGCGGCCCTCAACATGAACGGCCTGGCGGCCGCACCTATGACCCCAACCTCAGGTGAGCCAACAGATATCAAGAACTTGGGGCCTGGTCTGATGGGAGAGAAGCCAAGGTCCAGTTTGATCCTCAGTTTTGGTGACCAGTAGACAAGGATTCTGGTTGTTCTCTGAAAGTTTGTTTCAAAAAGGGTCTAAACACGGGGGCACAAGGGAAGGTGAGATGTGGGCCCCATGCAGTCTATTGTGTGATTTCAGCATGCTGGGACTTTCACTCAAGTGGCTTCACCCTATCAGGAAAGAGTTTACCTTGATCTCTAATAGATACCTAGGAAGAAATTGACATGACAACATCTCTCTTTAGGGTATGCAAGGCTGTGTCCAGAACCTGACCCAATCCCAAAAGGAGCCCCTTTTCTCATTTACTTCTAGCCTTAGGGTTACTAGATGTTCCTAAGACAGCTACACAACTACAAGTGCTAAAAAAAGACTGGGGCTGGAAAACAACCTCCTTGCAATTTTTAATTGTTGATTCTTAACCAGCACAGTTAGGTCTCCTTCCAACCCCAGTTTATTTGTCAAGAGGCTTCTCTGTTTGTCACATCTAGGACAGTAGAGAGGAATCCTACTTCTATCTAGTTGGAAAAGACTAGAGACTCTACACTGTCCAGATCAGCTTCATTAAGGAATTACCTAGCTCTGAGTGACAGTAGTATCAATGTTGAGAAACTCTGTGTGATGGACCCAAGGACTGGCCCTTGTACTCCATGCTCTCTTTCACTGGGCCCCCTTGGCTATTTGTATCCAGGCCATGGCAGCAGATTTCCTGACACCCAGAGGCTGCTCTTTTCCCAGCTAAAAGCCACAAAACATACTGTTCTATCTCCAGACCCAACTTAAACGTTATACCCCAGCTCTGATTCCCAGCCTGAGATACGTATGTGTCCAAGGTGATGGGCCAGCCCAATGTCCTCATCCTCAGAGAGACTTTCCTGAAGTGCAAGGAAACACCAGGATTGAACCTTCCTACATTTGAACAGTCAGACCTCTTTCAGAGGACACAGATAGCCCCTCCTGGAACAAATAAGGACTGTCTGTCCTGACTTGGCTAAGATGAGCAAGAGTCCCTGAAGATGACACTGAAGGAAGACAAGTGTGGTTAAAAGCCAAGGGCAGGTCTAGGGGTGAGCCCTCAGTGGTTAGGAAAGTCCTCTTGGGCAGGGACTTGGACTCCATCTTGAAGGATGAATGCAGTCAGGATGTGTGAGGCCACTCCATCTAGGGGGATAAGCCAACACATGAGTCACAGATATAATTGAGCTGGTATGTGAGGTCCAAGTCTGTGCCTCAGTTCTTGGGGCCAGCCTGGTGGAGCTCCATGGGCTGGTCTTCCTCACCTCTCTTCTGCTTGCTTCCCCACCTCTACCCCCTTGGAACCAGGTGGCAGCACCCCTCCGGGCATCACTGCACCAGCCGTGCCTAGCATCCCGTCCCCCATTGGGGTGAACGGCTTCACCGGCCTTCCCCCACAGGCCAATGGGCAACCTGCTGCAGAAGCTGTGTTTGCCAATGGTATCCACCCCTACCCAGGTAAGCACATTCCTTATCCAGTCTGTCCTGGCCCTTGATGTTATAACAGTTCCTTGGTGGAATCCCAAATGTGGCCAGGGAGGGCCAGCTCCCTCCTCTATCTTAGGGAGCCTGTGGTGAGAAAGAAGAAAGCAAAATCCCATCTGCTTGAAGCTTTGAATTAGTGAGGAAGAATCTCATTTCCTTGAGGGCTCCCTCAGGGGAAAAAGAGACTGGAGGCAATTGTGCAACCATGTAGAGAGGCTAGTAACTGTACATTAAGTGAACATGAATCTGACCTATAGGAAGTAAAGAAGCAGTTGCCAAAAGAATAGTCAGATTTAGTGTTGAGTAGGAGAAAGTTCTTTTTGGATGAGTGTATTGATTGGCAGTCTGGGCAATCTGTCAGTCTGGTCACTTGGTGTGAAAAACTCTGGTCAGCACCTTGGACAGCTTCAGGACCCAAAACAGGAAAATGAAGGCTCTTGCTCTCAGGTGGTAAGAGTATGCAGCTGTCTGAAACAGTTCTCTGATCTGCAGGGTGGACTGATATGAGGGAGAGGAAGGTGGCCCCAAAAGCCCCCAAAGTCCTAGAACAGACCAGCAGGGTGGTAGTTAAGAGGATACCAGAGGAGTGCTATCCTGCTCCTGGAAGGGAGAGAATGAGGTTCTCTGTAAGCATCAGTAAACGCCCAGCCTGCACTGCATGGAAGGAGGGCCCTGGAAGGAGGGTGGGGCATAGGTCCATCCCTTGAGAGGTCCGGGTCTGGTGAATACCAACCACTTCTACAAAATAATAAGACGATCAAGTTTGAATATTCTGACTCCAGATGGAAGAGGATCGACATGAAGGGGGAACTCTATGGGCTGAAGAAGCCCCCAGGGGCCTGCTGGAGGAGGAGGTAGTTTAGGACTTCATATCAGATGAGCAAGACTGGAGAGGAGGAACAAGAAGCCTACTCCTGTGAGATGGGGGTTGCCTAGAGGGACTTGTAGGAGAGGGCAGACGGCCAGCCTGAGGCAGATCAACAAGGAGGGTGATGACATGCTCCCCACCTGGAGGCCCATTCGAATCCACTGTAAGGATGGCTAAAACCAGAGAAATCTAGAGTCAGAATTCCCTTTGCAGTGGGACCCAGGCATCTGTAACATACAAAGTCCCACTGGCAATAGAGGCCAAAAGTCCTTGTACTGGAAAGAAATAGAGAATTTCCTGACTCTGAACTTGGAGTTGTTCTTGATCCCACTCTGGTGCAGAGGTTAGAGAAAAGGCCAGAGAGATCCAGATAGTGAAGTAGAATTCAGAGTGTTGTCTGAGGCTGAAAATTTCAGTCTGGGAGGCGTGGCAGGACGAGGCTTGGCAAGCCAGAGGTGGAAGAGACCCTGCCAATCTCAGGCTTGTGGGCTGGAAGATGCCATCCCCAGCACATCTGGGTGGCTGTGTTTTGTGCTCCTCCTTGCCACTAGTCCCATCTGGATCTAAGAATCCTGAAAAACCTGTTCCTTCCCTACCCGCACCAGCATCTGTGAGCCTTTTCCTCTTATGGAATTTGGAACTGTTCCTTTCCCCATTTGTAACAATCTGCCACATCCTATAAACAATTCCCTGCCAGAGCAGGAGGGAGGGATAGAGGAAAGGAAAGGCGAAAAGCAGTGCATTAAAAAAAAATTAATTTACCAGAGTCAGATGCGGAGTTTGGAGCTGCTGTAATGAGCGAGATCCTTCAAAATGCTCACTCTTTGGCAGTTACTAATGAGGTCGTTAGGCAAAGAAGCAGAGAGGGTCCCACTACTGCTCTTCTGCATTTCCTAGCCCCAGGTAGCTCCTCTCTACATATCTCTTACTCATCAAGAGCATGTGGGAAGCACACAGGATGGCCTTGGCTGCCACCTAACACCCTTGAAGAAATGGCTTCCACAAACATTAAGACATTCATTCATTCCTAAAGTTGCACTCCTTAGACTTATCAGGTGCTTGGCACTGCCTGAAGGTGGGGACTGGCTGCCACAGAATTTGTGCAGGTTTGGTTTTGTGTGAGGGCACTAAACTGTGCCACAAGGAAGGGGTGCCCTTTTCTAATTTGCATGAAGCTGCTGTGCGTGCAGGGTGAGCAGTTGGGAAGACCAAAAGGACAAGCCAGACATGGCCCCTCCCTTGGCCGAGGATTTAGAGGCTGGCAGACTTGACAGGCAGAGGGAACAGTGGGCAGGAAGAGACCACACCACCAAGTATGCCACAGCTGGGAGCTCTTGGCTCTAGTCTCCGCCACAGGGGATTGGGGACAGGGTGTTGGGCCGGGATGGCCCCAGGCAGGATGGAGCCTGCCTCCGGAGTCATCTTTAGCTCGTCTCTTCTGTGCCAAGCTTCCATAGACCCAGCTTTCCTGCTGCACCCTAGTTCCTAGTGCCTGTGGGGTATGCCATCTGCTGTCTCTGGGGACTTCAGTCCAAGGCTTTTCCCTGGGCTCCCCCTGAGGCCCAGGACTTTTTTTTTTCTAATGGAATTTTACTGAGACTCAGAGACAAGAGCTCAGAAGAGAGGTTTGGGAATGCTCCCAGTCTGAAGTTTGGGAATTCACAGCATGGCTCACCTGGGGGCACAGGCAGAGGAGCCCAGATGGTTGTCTTGCTTCTGCCTGTGTTACCTAGTTCGCCCCCACAAAGCATCCTGGGGATCCTCCCTCTGTGTGAGCATCTGTCTCCTCCCACGTCTGTGGCCTCCAAGGCCAGCCTGCTTCCACGTCACTCTTCCTGTCTTGGTCACTGGAAGTGGTATCCGCTGCCAGTCCCACTCACAGCTCCTACAGAGATAGCAAAGGAGAAAGACGTGAACCCACCCGGTGCCCCAGGCCAGCTTCCCTGAGTTTTTTGCCAAAGTATCATATCAAGGGTCCTCCCTTGGTACTGCACAGTAGGACCTTGGAGAGCTGCATGTTCAGAATGGGAGGCAGGTCTTCAGTTGCCTGGTTCCTCAGTGTCTATAGGCACTGCCCTTCTCCCAGCCTGCTGGGTAGCCCAGCTCGGTGTGGCTAGTGCCTGCTGGGAAGGGGATCAGCCATGGCCAGGAGGGCAAGGTCTCTGCATCCTGCGCAGATACCCTAGGAATGACAGTGCCTCCATAAGAGCAGGAGCAAGCTGTCACAGTGACCACAGGCTGTTTTCCAGGCTGTTCCTTTGCTCCCTACCCCAGGCTTGTGCTGAGCATTAATCAGAAGGAACCCACCCTCCTGATGGCCTTGTCCCCTATCCCAGTTCTTCTCCAAGGCCATAACCACCCCCTCATCCCCAAGTCTCTCCACCAAGCAGCTGATGGCTGAACCCCTCTAGCATCTCTGCAGCAGACTTGTGCCTGAACCCCATACCTCATCCCCACCTCCAGCCCAACTGCAGCCTGCATCCCCCAACCAGGGTGGGCAACTCTACTCTGCTAAGGGTCTAGGGCTGGGGAGCAGGTGCCTGCAGGGCCCAGGCATTCAGGGCTATGGTCTCAGATGCCCTGGACACTAGCGGGAACGGGCAATATAGACATTGCATTGTCTCTGGGAGCGTGGAGGGATGTGTGTGGCAGGTTTGGGTGGCCATTGCTGACCTCTACCCCCTTGGCTCCCCTGCAGCACAGAGCCCCACCGCCGCGGACCCCCTGCAGCAGGCCTACGCCGGAGTGCAGCAGTATGCAGGTCGTTAGTATCCACGCGTCCCCACGGCTCTCATACAGCTCTGTTCATCTTGCCAACGCCCAGGGCTCTTGGGGCCCAGCAAGATCTGGGCCCAGCACTATATGGGGTTGAGAAGGGAGTGGTAGGAAGCCCACTGGCACTCGGGGCAGACATTAAACACCTTTCCATATCACACCAGCAGGGTGCCCTGGTGGTGATGGGTGGGCAGAACTTGGGATGAGATAGCTGGTCAACTCCTGTCATACTACCAGGAACACCAGGCCACAGGGCAATGCTAGTGGCTGGCACCTGCCATGCTGCCTGGTATAGTCCACAGGCCAAGGGTTTGAAAGAAGCAGGGAGTCTGGGAGAGGGGCAGATCTCACAGGCACCAGACATGGACCTGAGCAAATATAGGCAGGGAGCAAGGAGAAGGGATGAGGAGATAGCCCTGGGGCCAGCAGATAGCCCTGGCTCAGTAGGCCCAGCCAGGCTATCAGCCCAGCTTCTCCATCTTCATCCCTGGCCTGGGCCACACACCATGGTCCTCTGAGTCAGCCTGGGACTTGCTGTCTAACTCTGCCAGGGCCCTTTGCTGCCTTAAAAGAGCCAGACATGGGGCTGCTGGCAGGGTGAGGACTTAGAGGGTGCCTTGCTCAATGGGAGCCCAGAGGAAGCTCTTTAACCTGCTAGACCCCTGAGTTCTGCCCTCCATCCCTACAGTGCCAGGAGCTCTGGCCATTCCTGTCCCACCTCTGACTCTTTCCATCTGAGTCCACAACCCAACAGGCATGTCCAGTTCAGTTTGCTGACCCCAGAGATGACCCTGTAGTTCCCCTAGAGGCTGAGTCCACACCTCGGGGGACATGGGCACCTCTCAGAATGAAAGGCACAAGAACCTTCTAGAGGGTTCCAGATGGTATAGTGCCATCTTATTCAAAGCATCTTGATTTTTTTTTTCAGCCTTGACTTTGTGGTACCCTTTTGTGTGGACTCTCCACTGTCCAGATTAAGATTCCCCTAAACATGCACCCACAAGAGTACACACATATTTGGCCAATTCTAACGGTCACACTGCTACTTCTGCCTGAAGTGGCTTTATCTCAGGTGGCTGGGTTTGCACACACCTGCCAGCTGCCCTGCTGACACTGAAATTTCTCTTTCTTCCTGTCTCTCGCCTGTCTTTCTCCACATCATGTTGCTGTTGTTCTGCCCTGCCGTCTTCCTCGCCGTCTCTCTTTGGCTCCCCAGCAGCCGCCTACCCTGCTGCCTATGGTCAGATAAGCCAGGCTTTTCCTCAGCCACCGCCGATGATTCCCCAGCAACAGAGAGAAGGTGGGTATGCCATCCTTCCTCCCCTTCTCTCCCCAGATAGGCACCCCCTTTGGATGGGATGTGGTTGTGTTGGCATGTTGTGTGGGGGCGTCAGGGGTGGGAAAACCGCACCTTGGGGACAGCTCAGCAGACCCAATGGGCAGAGAACAGGACCAGATGACCCCTGGCTGGCGGTGGATCACGCACGGGGCATGTTTCCCACTTGCCTTGTCGTTTGCTGCTGGTCTGACGTAGCTCAATGTGCGCAGACCTTGCTGTGGGAATCAGTATTTGGAGATGGCCAGGTGTGCTCCCTTCCCGGCAAGCCCTGCAAGCAGCATAGCAACAGCGCCCGAAGAGAGGCTGCAGAATAGGCTCAGGGAGGAGCTAGGAGCCTGTATTTTGGGGGTCTTTATCAGACTTCCTGGGGAGCAGGTAGGGTAGCCAGGAGGCAAGACTTGAGCGATGGGGTGGATTTTTGTGATTCCAGTCCTGATAGCTGAGGGCATTGAGAAGGAACAAACTGAGGTGAGGTGCTGGGATGGGTGGGATCCGAGAATACACCCCCCACACAAACATACACTGTTGGGCAGAGTTGGGCTGTGGGGAAGATGGGAGGAGTCGAGGGGCTTACGGTGGAAGGGAATGGAAGAAGTCAAGTAGTTTATGCTACTTGAGGCGTTGACCCCAAGTGACCAGGAGAAATGTATAGAGTTCCCAAGGCATGGTAAGGGCACAGGAGGCGCCAGAACACTGCTTCCAGGAGCCCCAGTGTATATGGGTCAGGAGAGGCAAGGTAGGTGGGCTGGGGTCGGAGGGACTCCCAAGGACTCCAGCCCTCATAGTCACGGAGACAGGAGCCTGCTAAAGGAGCTTACCTTTGGCAAGGGTCCTTGGGCCTGCAGAGAGAGAGAGCCAGCCCAAGAGGCAGGAAGCTAACAAGGCTCCGTTTTGTTATCTCATGATGCCTAAGTGCCTGACTCCCAGCCCCTGCTATGATTCCTAGCCCTAGCATGAAGTGAGCCCTGGGAAGGACCTTGAGCACCTCCTTATCCCAGTCTCTTCCATCAGACTAGCCCTAGACCCTTTGGAGGAAATCCTCTTGGTAGGACTCCCAGCTGGGCCACCTCTTCCTGTTGTGACCCCAAGCCCCAAGCTTTAACATCGGCACCTGTAAAAAGCTGAGCCTACCTGTCTGAGGTCCAAGCCACTCCCTCACCACGTCGTCAGCCTCTCTAACACCTTCCAGGAGGCATCCTATGTCACCAGAGCTCCCCATACCCAGGACAGCCAGGTTACAGAGACCTAGGCAGTACACAGCTGGCCCTTGCCTGCCTGCCCTCTGCTGTAATGTCCTGCAGCAGACAAGTTGCCCCATGTCTCCTCCAGTCTAAGTTTTCATCACTCAGCAGAGAGCTGTGACTGCAAGCCCTGCTGGCTTGAGGACACAGTCAGCTCCCTGTGGGCATAAAGATCTCTTCACTCTGCTACACACACATACACACACATGCAGATACATGTACAAAATGCAGTGACAGGCCAGTGCCACCCTAACCAACACACATGATGGCTCCTACTGCTGGCCTGGGGCTCATGACCTACTGCCTCTCCACCCTGGCATCTGCCTCCTGCCTTTTCTATCTCCCAGTGGTTTCACCTCTCCCTGACCCCGTGCCCTGCCACCCAGGCCAGGCCCCAAAGGCCAGTGCTCTCTGTAGGCTCTCCTTGGGGCTGAGAGCCTCCCCTAGTTCTTCTCTCCCTGGTTGCATTGCACGTGCTGAACCCCTCTCCAAGAGCAAGGGATTGGTCAGGGCAGGATGAGAACCCAGAAACCATACTGCACACGCAGGCAAGATGAGGGTGCTGGGAGTGAGTGGTTGGGGAAACTGCAATGGGCCTGCAAGAGAGGAGTGGGGGAGGTGGGCAGACCTGCCAGCCTGGTCGGGGGCAGGCAGCAGGTGCCCAGTGTGGATATTTCCACGGCTATGCTGAGCCTGAGGCCAGACAGGCTGCTGGTGATATTTAGGGGGAGCGGGGGTGGGAGGGAGTCCTGCCAGAGCCAGGTGTACAGAGAGGAAAGGTCTGCCTGGAGTCGGTCTCTCTGTGGAGCCGCTGGCACATCAAGGCATGCTGGTTGCTGCGGAAGTTCCTCCTGCCAGAGTGGAGCTTGGAAAGTAGCAACGGCCTGCAGAGACGACCCGCACTCAAGCTGGGAGGAGGCTGCCCACAGTACTGGCTGCAATATGGCCCTGCCTGGAGCTCTGTTCACCATTTCTCACACCCCTAATGCATTGCCAGTCTAGGCCTCGGGAATGAAGGAAGTAGTTCAGGGTGTGGCCACAATCAGGCTGGGGCTGGAGTGTCGCCCCAGGGGCCTGGCCTAATGCCTTGTGCAGATGGGACTGAGCACAGGGGTTCCTGACCATGAAGAGGCTCAGACATGACATCCTAGGGAAGCAGCTTGTAGTACCTGAACTTAGAGCAACAGGCCCTAGTGAGGCTGCTGTCAGCAGGCGGTGGGTCTAAAAGCAAACATGAGCAGAGAGGGCAGGCCAGGGGGCAGGAGTGGGTTAGTAGATGCCCCTATCCCTAGGGAGTGCTCCATTGGCTTGCAAAAGAAATCTCCAGAAGGCGAGGGAGAAAGCCACTACCCCAGAGTATGGAAAGTGGGCAGGCAGGATAGTGACTTAGCTTGGGCCTTAGGGTTGTGTCTGCCCTGAGGGGATCCTCTTCTAGCTGGGAGGTATAGAGGGGCAAGTCATAGGGCGTGGCTGGAGGGTACAGCAGGTACAAAGCTGGAGGGGAATCCATCAGAGCTAGAGCAGGGAGGAGAGCACACTTGTGCCTGGTTCTGGACACACTGTCTAACAGAGTGCCTGGCAGCCAGTGGAGGAAGAAGGGTGGGCCCAAGAACCAAGACAGTCAGCGGATGGTTTTGGTGGTCAGGACTGTGGCTCTGCAAGGGTGGAGATGGATGGATAGAGGTAGGAGGGGAGAGGAAAGGAGACTCCTGAGCCAGCCCTGTTCTATAACTAAATCACAAGGCAGGACCGTTGACCATAGCCTCTGACAAGTGGACCCCCAGGAGTGCCTTAAGGCTTTCATTGTCAAGTTCATGCCCAGGTTTCCCCGTTGGCCTGTCATCAGGTCCTCCACTGTCAGTCACACAGCTCCACTAAACACGGCTGTTTCCCTGCTGTGCCCATTGTAGGCTGTGCGTGCCATCACTGGAGTTGCCACAGCTCACTTCACACCTGACAGGCCTTAGTTAAGGTAGCAGCATCACTCAAATAGAGTGTGCATCTTAGAAAATATTCCATTTCAGAGTGTTCAAATAGAGCATTTTGAACATTTAACACTTCAAGGAAAATATGTAAGGCTTTGGCTCTCTGGTAATTGCAGAAACTCAGAGACCTCCACAGTGTTTGGGGTATGGGGTGAGACAGAGAAAAGCACACACTATGGAGCAGACAGCCTGGGTGGGTATCCTGTTCCTCTGCCCCTTCAGCTGCTTGTTTCTTGGCAGGGGATTCACCTCTCTGGGCCTCAGCTTCCTTACCCATGGCAGGGCAGTGCCAATAATAGTTAACCCCCGAGGTTGCTTAAGGATTACTGCACATAGTGTGCATGGGAGATGCCTGCCGGAGGGACCTGGTACAGCTTGTGCTGTAGCAGTGGCAGGTCTCTGGTTATCAGAAAGTGAACCTTTCCTGTGATGATGAGACTCGGGTGTCCTGCACCCACCTGGAATGCTGGCGGGCGGGGAGGGCAGCGGGCCAGACAGGTGGGACTCTGAGAGAAAGGGGGTTCTTGCGGCCACTCCAGGCATCAGAGTCCCAGTAGTGGGACAGCTTCATGGGACTTGGCCAACACCCTGCCCAGGGTGACTCTCTCCCTGTGGCTGGAGCTGGGGCTGGCAGGCTAGAGTTCCTCCCTGACTCCAGGCTGCGTGGCCAGACTTGGCTATCGAGCCATTTTGCTGCGAAGTCCACTGAGGCCCAGAGAGGTTCCACAAGCAGAGCCAAGAGCCAAGCTTGCCCTTGGGTCTGGAATGAAACCCCCCCTCCTCCTAACCTTGCCCCGCCCTCCCTGCTGCGCTGCCTAACTCGCTCACCTCTCCTCTGTCTCTCTCTCCCCCACCCCCACCCCGCCATCCCTCCTCCCTGCCCATCCCCTCCCCTCACCGCAGGGCCCGAGGGCTGTAACCTGTTCATCTACCATCTGCCCCAGGAGTTTGGGGACGCTGAGCTGATGCAGATGTTCCTCCCTTTCGGTAATGTCATCTCCTCGAAAGTGTTTGTGGATCGGGCGACTAACCAAAGTAAATGCTTTGGTGGGTAAAGATAACAAACCAATTAGCTTCACTTCGGACAGGGCGGTGCTCGCACCGCCCCGCCCCGCCGCGCCGTTGGCGCCCAGTGCGGTTAGCCTGCTCCCGCACACTGCGCCCCGCCGCCCAGGTGCTCCCGACGGCCCCGCCTCCATCTCTCACCGCTCTCCTATCCTTCCGCTCTTTTTGCTTCTCGCTCTCCCTTGCCCGCCCCCCTGGCTCCCAACTCCCACTTCCCATCCAGAGAAATGGGTTTCCGCTTCCAGCCCAAAGGCTCTGATCCAAGGGAAAGGAGAAAGGACCGTGAGCAGCAGAACCTCGAAATGTCCATCCTCCCAGCAGCCCCTCTCCTCCCTGGCTCCTGAGCCGGCCCTGGCTGAGCATGACCTCGGGGCAAGCAGTTTACAGGAGATCCCACCCCCTGCCGGCGAGCTGGAGCCGCCTCCCTGAACATGCCCTATTGGCCCTGCGCCCTTCACTTTCCTACTCTTTGCCTTCCCTCTGCTGTGCAGAGACCTCTCCTCCAGTATTGCCCCCACCCCCCACTCCGAGAGCTAGGCACTGTTGAGATTCGGCCCTCTCCCACTCAGGAAGCTAAGTTCTGAGCTCAGATAAAACTTGCACCTGCTGCACGGCAGTGAATTCTGCCAGGTATTGAACTGGGGAAGGCAGAGGATGTGGGTGGGAAGTCATCACAGCCAGGGAGGATGGAGTGGACAAGCAGGGGGTGGGCTGAAAGGGCAAAGGACAGGGCATGAGGAGCTGGGAGAGTATGTGTTCTGGAGGGCTTTGACCATACACAAAATGATTCAATTGATGGGAAGGTTGTGGAGGGTGGTGGGAGGGCCTAACCTGGGAGGAATGGACTGGGAACATGCTTTCAAGAGATGTCCCAGTGGACCATGTTAGGCGTGCAAACACTTGGGCAGATCCAGGTGAATACAGGATGTCGAATTAAATGGGAATTATGGGTCCACAATGAATCTTTGTTTTACTTTTGTTAGTATAAGTGTGTCCCAAACACCACATGCAATAGGGCTCATGCAGATTTTGGGGTATGCTTATACCAACAAATAATTCCTTATTAATCTGAAAATCAAATTTATCTGGGCATCGTGGTTCATATTTGCTAAAATATGATAATCCTATCCAGGGGACTTGAAATATCCTCTTAATTCCCCTCTGGTCTCAATGATCCCTCTCCTCCCTCCCTCAGCTCACTCCAGGGGGGCCAGACCCACTCCCAAGTCCCTGAGGACTTGAGGTCCCCAAGAGCCATCTTTTATCTGAGACTGGAGTCTGCCAGAAGCACAGCATCTCCAGGTTGAGCCCTGATTCTGAGACCTTGGATGTTCAGGGAACCCCCGTCACAGCTTGGGCGTGCGTGGTGGTGGGGAGACAGTGTCTCTGGGAGCCTGTGTCAGGGAGTTCCCAGTTTGGAGTCTAACTTTCCAGTGAAGTCAAAAGCTTGAGAATCCAAGCATGTTCCCCAAGGCAGTCAAGGTCTTGGTGCCATTCACAAGTCCATGGCCCTAGCAGCTCATTCCTCTTTGGATATAGAAAAGCAAGTCTATGACCATTTTACCACCAGCCACTCTTGGATTGCTCTGGCTCCTTGCAGTTATAGCAGTGCAGGTAAAACAGCAAACTGGCAATCAGTGACATTCACTCTTTAAAGTCACGCTACAATGTGATGTCACGAAGGAGGGAAATGCTGAGAGCCCAACAAGCGCTAGGGTATGTAAGACCAGACCAGAACACACTCAGGCTCCAGCCCCATGGGGTCTGGGCACCTTGGCAGGTGCGAGCCGGTTTTAAAGGCACCGCCTCCACCTGCCTATGCACTGTCCTTAGACCTCCAAGAGCTGATCGCCCACTGCACACTCCAGAACTAGGGTTTTCCCCTATCTTTTGTAGGACTCCTCTGTCCTTCCATTCTGACTCATGCTGAGCATCTACCAGCCTGAAAAGAGGTTGGATTCCTGCCATGAGGTCCAGCTCCACTCTTCCTCCTAAAGCCACTCTGACAGCAGAGCCTTCTGCATCTGGCCCATCCAAGGTCCTTTTGTAGCAGACCTGACTCCATACAAGTCCCTGGGCCCTCAGAGTGGCAGCATCCTCATTTGTAAAATGGGGACTGTAAAAGTTGTCCCCCCACAACCCTCAGCCACCACCATTAGGGATGCTTGAAGCTTCCTCCCAAGCTTTTGGAAGGGACTTGGCCAGAACAAACTCACGAAATGACATTGGCTCTGAAAATGTTCTTGAAAGCTTGTGATAGTTGTGCCATATGAGCAGCTCTGTTTCCATGTGAAGTTCTCAGAAGACTGCACTCTTTATAAGCATGCATGGAATCATCTAGAGGCTTCCAGTAGGGTCATGGTAGAGGGCCCTTCCTTGGGGGAGGGAACCCTGGGAGAAGCAGGACAGTTCTGGGACTGTGGGCATGCTGTTGGCACTTGGAGTCCTGCCCCCAGAGTTGCTGTGCTGCAGGGTGATACCCCCTTGTCCTGCCTACCAGCCAGCTAGCAATACCAGTTGAGGAAGAAAAGTTCCCTTCAACCTGGAAGACTTCCCAATCCCAGGGCTCCTGATAGTACTCAACTCTTGCAGGAAGATGGCTTCTTCCCTCCTGCAGAACCTCCTCTCTGCTCTCCCCCACCCAGTGGCTATTCCTCCCTCTACCTCTTGTCCCTGCCTTGCTCACGTTTTGTTACCTGCAAAAAGAGACATCAAGTCTAGACATAGAGGTAGAGTTGGAGCCAGTAGCGCCAGTGGGTGAGGGGGTTGTTGGCTGAGAAAGCAGTTGTCAGATTCCCTTTTGTCCTGGCCCGGGCAAGTTCATCTACCCTTAGGGACAGGGGCAAGTAGGATAAACAGACTTATGGTTCACATAGTTCTGCCAAGGACTTTAGTCCTCAGATATTCAAGGTAGGTGCGGGGCCCTTGAGCCCAGAGGGGAGGAGACAAAGGATAACTGGAGGTTGAGTGCCAGCTGTGGATAGTGCCAGCTTTTTTCTTTGTGTTTGACTATGCTGATTTATAGAGATATTGGTTTTGTTATTTTGGGTTTGGCCCTGACCAGCTCCATCGGTGTTCACATTTGCAAAAATAGGAGTGTAGTCATACCCCTGCGCCCTTCCCCCATCTGTGCTGGTGTGCAGCATAAGCAAAGAAGGAAGGAGACAAAGAAGCTAACAAAGCCATGCCTGGGAGGGTGGGATACAGAGTGATGAGCCATCAGGTGTAACTCTCTTGGAGAGGAGAGGCTGCAGGGGTGCCCTGGGTACCATGCATGGCTAACCAAGAGAGCAACCTCTGGTTTGCACTAGATCTGGCTGTACATTCAGTAGCCACTCAGGGACACGCACTCTGGCTGAGGCACATCCTCTAGACAGTGCGGGTGTCTCGGCCAGTAGAGTTTCATCTGTTTCTACAGGAGAGACTCTAAGGTTGGATAAATTCAAGGAAATACTAGAGTAAATCAAGCTCTGAAGGTTTCTTTGCCAGAGAACATGGGGCAGGAGGGAGAGTTTTCTGCTCACGTGCCTTGAGCTAGCCTCGGGGAGTCCAGTTAGGAGAACGCCTCTGGCTCAGGAAGCACCTGTTAGGGCCAGCTCGGGGAAATGTGGATGGAGAGCCACTCACTTTGTAACAGGGGCTATCCCTGTCTGGGAACTACTTGCTGTGGCCCAGAGTCTGCGTGCAAGGAAAAATTCAACAGCCCCAGGTGCACAGAGGCCAGCTGCTAACTTTTCCTTGAGGGTGTAAATTGTTCTACTGTTGTAGTTGTACATCTCTTGAGGGGCTCACAAGGAGACCCATCAGGTAATTTGATGCAGTGCTTACTCTGGGGGAAAAAAAAGACTCCTATCTGTTCAGAGATGTGTGTAACCCCTGGATGCCAGGTGGTGGGTCAAGGCAATGGGTCTGGATTTACCCCGGTGTCCCCAAATGGACATCTGGGGCAGCCCCAGGGGTGGGCGGTGGCCCCCGCCTCTGGTCCTCCCCCTACGGCCAGCCCCACTGGCAAGGGGGGTGGTTCACGTGGCGGTGGAGAAGTTGTCTGGGTGGTGCCTCCCCTCCCGCCCCCTCGCACTGCTCTCTCTCCCCAGGCCGGCACCCAGTGCCCTCCCGCTGCCAGGCCCCCTCCTGTCAGGGAGGACAGTGTCCAATAAACTCCACCCGCAGGTGTGTGCGCCCTCTCCCGCCGAGGGAGAGGGCCGAGGTGGCGGGGGCCGGCCGGGGAGGGAGGGCGCCCCCGCCTGCGGGAGTGGGCGCTGGGCGAGCGGTGCGGCTGCGCACAGCCCAGGTGGGGCCCCGGCACGTGGGCTGTAGGGGGGGCGGGTGCGGCACGTGGCTCCGCCGGGCTGGAGGCAGGGCCGGATTGGGGTTCGTGCCCCGTCCTGCTTCCCACCATCTGCCCACTCCCCGCCACGAGCGGCCCCGTGGAAACCCAGGCCCTCGTCCCTCGTGTCTCGCCAGGCTTCGTGAGCTTCGACAACCCAGCCAGCGCGCAGACCGCCATTCAGGCCATGAACGGCTTTCAGATCGGCATGAAGAGGCTCAAGGTGCAGCTGAAGCGGCCCAAAGACACCAATCGCCCGTATTGAGCGCCGGCGGGAGCGTCCCCCGGGGGAGACCAGGACTCGCACAGGTAACCGGGGGCAGCCGGGCGAGGGTAAGGGAGGGGGGATGGGTGGCCTGGGGGCGAGGACTCAGACGGACCCGCCGCCTCCTCTGGTCTCCATGGGCCGGACCCTCATTGTGCCTTGGACCCGCTGCGTCTGGTTCAACCTGCTCTTCTCCCTAGGCCTAGCCGGCAGGTGCAAAGGTAGAGTCAGAAATGGGTAGGGCCTGCTCCCCTAGTGCAGGGCAACAGAGGCACCACCCCACCCCTACCCCGGTGAGGCGCCCTTGGGCCTGATGGGCAACTAAGCAGAGGGTTCCAGCGCCAGACCCTGCAGAACACTGTAGCTGCCAAGGGACTTTGTGCCAGTCTTCCTGGCTGTCTTTTCCCCAGCCCTGCCCAGCAGCTGGAGACCCTGTCAGCCACTCCTCTTCCAGGCCAGGGATCTTGCTGAGCGAAACCACTTCCGGAGGAAGGGATGGAAAGGCCATTCGATTTGGCCTTCAGTTGCCATATGCCCTACAAGCCTTGGGCTTACTTGTAGGTGGAGATGAAGGTCCTGTTTGGCCCCTTCAGTTCGCAATGGCTATCCCCTCCTTTTATTCAGCAGCGTTGTGTGCCAGGGACCGCATTAGGTACTTGGGACTCAGTGGTGAGGGAGCCAGTAACACATGAGCAGGTTTTCAAGCACATCAGTCTTGTGGGTTACACTTCGATCAGCAAGGCAGAGTCAGTGTCATGGAGAAAGACACATTGGAGCAGATACTTGAAGGGGACAGAGGGAGCCATAACAGCACGGAGGGAGCATGCAGCATGTATACCCACCCCAGGGAGGCAGCCAGAAGCCAGGGGAGATGGGTGGGGGTCCCTAACAGCACCAGGAGACCGTTGTGTGGACCTTGGCAGGGTACCGAAGAGTTCTGAGTTCTTCCCTTCTGGGAGCAATCTCTGCTAGATCTAACCATGGGGCAGGAGCCAAGCATCTGCTGCTCCAGCCAGGGTCTCAGCAGTGGATGTGAAGTGAAGCAGGTGCAGTATGAGCCAAGGATGCTACTTCCAATGAATTCAAAGTGTAGCAGCCCGGAGAGAAAAAGGAGCCAAAGGTGACTTCAGGCTTTTGGCCTGAGAGACTAGAAGAGCAGGGAACTGGGGTACAAGAGGCAGACATTCAGATGGAGCTTTTGAGGCTGAAGTCTGGCTAAAGGGGGGGTCCTCCAGTTTCCCAGTTCCCCTCCAAAACCATCCCCACCCACCCCAGTGGGACACAGAGCCCAGCAGAAGAGCCTTCTGCCCTGTCCCCATTCATGGAGGGCAAGGCCCTTCTCTGCTATCCTGGCACTGCCAAGCCAGCTTTCTCAGCCCGTGTGCATAGTCAAGGCACCTTTGTGTGCCAAGCACTGGGCTCAGTGCTAGGGATGCAGAGATTGAACCTGTCACCATTGCTGCCCTCACAGAGCTTCCAAGCTCTGTGCACACAGGCTGGGATGAGGAGACAACCAGCCACTGAGTTCTGGAATGGGAGAGGAAGTGGAGAAGTGGCCTGAGGGGAGAACCGTGCAGGCAGAGCGGGGGCAAGTGGTTTAAACAGCATAGTGGTTCCCCTTTTGTCAAAATTTAAATTTATTTAGTTTTGAAAGTCTGCTACATAGGTGAGAGGATTGCAGCCCCAAGCAGGTCTCTGGGAAGCATGAGGGGATTGCACAGCGGGAAGGCCAAGGCCAGGAAGAGGAGAACCACAGACCCTTCACAAGTACCTCCCCTGTCCTGGCACTGCTCTGCTAGCTACTAAACATGCAGCCATGGCTGCCTAGCAGGTAGCTGGTGCTGCCCTTTGCATTTCACAGAGGTAGTACTGCCAGGAGGTTAGGGAGCTTGGCCAGCAGCCAGTGAGGGGTTGAGACAAGCTTTGAAGTTGCAGGGGCAGGGGACAGGGTGTTCTCTCAGATCTAGAGTGTGCTGTCAAAAGGGTCCCCTTATCATACTGGCTGCTGTCTGGTTAGAGAAGCAGGCTTTTTTTTAAATTTTAATATTCATTTATTTTTATTGCAAAGTCAGACATATATATATATAGAGAGAAGGAGAGACAGAGAAGATCTTCCTTCTGATGATTTACTCCACAATAGCTGGATCTCAGCCTATTAGAGTCCAGGAGCCAGGGGCTTCTTCCAGGTCTCCCACATGGGTGCAGGGTCCCAAGGCTTTGGGCCATCTTCAACTTCCTTCCCAGGCCACAAGAAGAGAGCTGGATGGGAAGAGGAGCTGCTGGGATTAGAACCAGCACCCATATGGGATCCCTGCGCATTCAAGGTGAGGTCTTTAGCTGCTAGGCTACCACTTATGGCCCAGGCAGCAGACTTTTCAACTGCCCCAAGGCAACCTGACTCCTACAAGAAAGCTTCTGGCCTTTGGTTTTCATCCACAACATTTACTGCCCAGCCCCATTCTATTAGAAGCAGTGGTGGAAGTAGTGTGCCAGGAGGGGATGAGGATGCATCTTAAGGCAGGATTGGGGTCTGTAGTGAGAGGTGTGGAAATTCTCAGGCTGGAAGAAGGGAGGAGCCAGCCCAGTAAAGCAGCTGAAAAACTGTTCCAAATTTGCAGGTCACTGAATGGTGTTTATAAAGGATATATAGGGTCCCGGCCCAGTGTGGTAGCCTAATGGCTAAAGTCCTCATCTTGCATGCACTGGTATCCCATATGAGTGCTGGTTTTAATCCCGGCGGCCCCGCTTCCCATCCAGCTCCCTGCTTGTGGCCTGGGAAAGTGGTTGAGGACGGCCCAAAGCCTGGGGACCCTGCGCCCGTGTGGGAGACCCACAAGAGGTCCCTTGCTCCTGGCTTCAGATCAGCGCAGCTCTGTCTGATGTGGCCACTTGGGAAATAAATCAACTGAAGGAAAGTCTTCCTCTCTTGTCTCTCCTCCTTTCTGTCTGACTTTCCAGTTAAAAAAAAAAGGGGGGGGGGATATGGCCCAAGCAGCAGTCACAGGTACATGGAAGGGCGGGGCTGGCCTGAGCAGGAATTCAGGAGACCAAGCACAGATGGAAGCAAAGAGGTAGTGAGGAGTAGAGTCTCAGAACCAGGGTAGCCACCTGCATTGGGGCCAAGATCAAGGCAGAAGGAAGTGGGGCCAGACCTAATGAAGGGCCAGGGCCCTTGGCAGGACAGCTGTCAGAAGCACAGGTCAGTGCTGGTTCCATAATGTTAGGAGCAGTAGGATCAGACTTGGGAGTTGGGTGGCGGCTCCTTCTCATCAGTTCGGATTCCAGGGGGCCTTGCCTCTCTGGCTGCCTCCTTCATCCTGTCCTGCCCACAGTTTCCTGTCACTGTCTAGAGAGTACACCCTGATCCCTGGGCAGAGGGGAGGAGCCTGTCTCTCAGCACTGGGGTGTTGTGATTGTCCCAGACAGCATGTCCTCCTTCCCCCAAGACAGTCATGCTTCTTCTGGGCCCTGGCCTCAGCCCTGAGGCTGTTTTTTGCATGATGTCTTGGTCCCACCTCTGGAGACACGGATGATTTGGTGTGACCCATACTGGGCCAGGTTATGCCTTTTGGCCTGGGCCCTCTCTGACTAGAGAACCTAACTGGCTTTAATGCCTGACATTGGACTTAGTTCAACCTGGCCAAAATTCTCTCACCCGGATTAGTGAGTTGGAACTTTTCAGACCCAAATTGAGCTTCCCTATATGGGGCATAGAGCCTGGCTTGATGGGTATCTGGAGCAAAACTGAGAGAAAGAACAGCCCCTCAAGCCCAGGGGGAAGAAGTGAATCCTGTGTAGTGCTCAGGACTGGTGTGGAGGGGAGGCTAGGAGTCCCCAGGAGTCCTTAGTTGACCACAACCAATAGTAGACTTAGTACTGTAGGCTTCCTGCTGCTGGCTGCACCTGTTGAGTAAGTTGGAAATGCAGGGAAGGGTGGCGTTGCCAGAGTGCTGGGCCTTGGTCTCAGTGAGGGAGATCTTGTTCTGTTAGAAGAGCAGAGAGACCAGCCTGGATGGGCAAGAACCAGCCAGGTCCCGAGGAGAGAGGATAGGGAGTGCTTGAAGGCTGAGCTGGAGACCGGGCAGATAGGCAAAGCAGCCACCACTCAGCTACCACATAGGTGATCCCTAAGGACACTAAGGGCCCACCCTCCCCTAAGGACAACAGAGAACCAAGAGTGGAAGTCCCTGTCTGTGGAGCCTGCTTGTTTGCAACCCTGCAAAGAAAACTAAGATATGAGGGCTTTGGAATGGGCCAGGGGACTGCAGGAGAGCAGGGTGTAGGGAGTAAATGTTGGAGATGGCCATGAGGGAGGGCCAGAAATGGGCACCCTCAAATTCCTGAGGGACAGAAAAAAATCCTGAGCTAGAGCGTGAGGATTGGGGAAGATGGAGAGTGTAGGGAAGGATGTTCTTTCTGAGCCTGTTGGGACTGTACCAGCAAAACAGCAGAGGGAACAATAGAAACAGCCTGTGAGGTAGGACAGTGTGCAAAGCACTTGCTGGAAGGGTGGAGGGCAGAAGGTTGGAAGGGAAGAGGTGAACAGAAAGTCAGCAGAGGGTGGGGATGCTGGTCACTGTTCACCCCTTGGGCAGCCCCAGCCTGCAGTTGTATCTTGGGCATCTGCAGCCTTCCTGGTGATACTGTAGAGGTTACAGCTGCCCACCCTCCAAAGAGTTTCTCATGCCCAGAAGAAGCCTCCATTTAGCCACCTTGAGAGTGCAGAAGAGCATGAGCCAAGGGAGGAGGGTAATTGTGCAGCAACATCTGTAGTGCCAGGGCATGTTTGTAGGGTGCCATGCACATCCAAGTTCTTGACATCTCAAAACTGCTCCTGTCCATGCCAAAGGCTCCGAGGAAAGAGACTTGAAGGGAGCATAGGGGAAGAGCTGACTCCTTGTATCAGGTTGCCCTGGAAGTCTGGAGACCCCCTTCTCTAAGATGGCAGCTTAGGTGGGACCCTCAAGGGTAGAAAGCCAAGTTGCTGTCCCTACCAACTTTGTTGTGGCAACCAAGAGTCCCACTGCACCTGACAGTTCTTTTAGCCGGCCTCTCACCAGCTGGCAAATCCAGGCCACCCTGTCTGGCTCCCCAGCTGGTTCACAGGCTGGGGTAGGGTGGGGTGGGAGGAGAGCTTGTCCCCCTACACCAGGGGTGGGGGTGGGGGAGGGAGGCAGAATCTGGGGGTGATCAAGAGAGAGCTTGTTCCCTGAGGTCTGTTGGCAGCCCATGGTGGTTTGAGGGGCTGTTTATTTTTTTCTGGCCCCTTCTCCCTCCCCACCGCATGACGGGCCCTACCCCCGCAGGCCCTGTGTGAGGTTCTGCCACTGTTCACAGTGTATCATGTGTCTGCATAAACAGCTGTGTGCGTACGTGTGTGTGCGTGCGTGTGCGTGTGTGTTGCTGTGCCCATGTCGTTTGTCTGCTGGCTTCCTCCATCCTTTGAGTTCTTTTCAGTTCCCTTCTGATTTGACTGCTGTTCTCTCATCTGAGCTTTTAGACTGATGCTGTGGTCTGGTGCTGTATAAATATTTTTCTTTTAAATTTTGTTTTAACTTCTTCCTTCCCCTTCTTCCCCCTCAACCCAGCTCTCCCTGCCTTTCCACAGCCCCTGACCACCTCTGTTCCCGTCTCCTCCCTCCCTCCCACCCCCCTACCCACACTCTCTTGCCCTCTTTCTCTCTCTCTCTCTACATATATAAATATATATATATAAATCTTTTCTTCTTTTGTCATTCAATCAAATTCCAACAACCCAACCAGGGCCAGTCAAATCCACCACAGTCTCGCGCTGAGCTAGGAATAAAGTTCACGTAATCACATGAGAGTGGAGAAAAGTCCCCCATCCGTAAGTTCAAATCAACTCAAAGTTCACAGTGTGACATGATGGCGTCATGTAACAAGGCTAAGAATCGGTTGCATGACAATTGCCGTCAAGTTTCGTGGAGGTGCTGTGATTGGAGCGTTTTTCTTGGATGTTGTACCCGTTGATGATTGGCCAGTCATGATCACACGTGCATTTTCTTGACTTTTGTGCTGCCACAATCTTTTTTGCTGTGCTCATTTTCGTTTCGTTCTTGGTGCTTGCAGTGGTTTTACTTTCTGTTGTTTGGTTTTTCTTGTTCAGCGTTTTTTTATGCTTCTCTAGATGTCACGTACAGAAAAAAAAAAAAGAACAACAACAACAAAAAAGAGTAAAAACAAAGATGAATTCCTGAATTATCTAACATGGGATCATTTTAACTGTGCAAATCATTATTTTTTTTCTTAAAAATAAGGAAAACATCTTAAAGATATCTATGCGTGGTTGATTTACTTGCACTTGAAAATCTTGTGATTTTATTTTTTTCTAGAAATTTGGGGGCCTTTTTCAATTGACACTTTCCTGGGGCTTTTTCCAGTTAGGCTATTTTAAGTCTCACTTCAAAAGGACAAATGAAAACCAAAAACCAAAATATATACAGTAACAAAATGATAAAAAAAAATTCTAAAGCAAAACCAAACTAAATAGAACAAAGCCAGAGGCCTCTCTGTGAGAGCCTGGTATCAATTGTAAGGTTTGTATTGTAGCCACTTCTGCTAAATTTGATGGGGGGGAGGGGGGGAGGGAGACCGGGGAGTTGGGGGAGGGTTGGTTTTATTTATGTTTTTTGGTTGGTCTGGAAGAGACAGTACTGACAAAAGCCAAAATGCACCTTTTTGTTTACAACTGAAAAAGGGTCCTTGACAAGTGTTTTTTAATTTTCTTATGATTTTCTTTGGTGTTGTAATTGTTTAGACCGCTGTGTACGGTTTGCTGTTTGTTGAATCAACAGTGTGAAAAACCTGCCAGCATGGATTGATATACGCATGACGTTGTCCCCTCGACTGGGGCGTTGCAGTTCTCACTTTCTCGATGTAACCAGTCACCCCCATGTATAAGTGGAAGCTGCTTGCTAGAATGGAGATGAGTCTCATTTGTTAATTCACAATAACTCAGCATTCACCTTCTGATTCTAGTCAGATCATGATTTTTGTCCTTGAAAGCCAAACAGAATGCCAAAAAGCCACCATTCAAAACCAAATCAAGAACCGTCTGAGTTTGATGATGAATCTGTTCTGACCTGTTTCAGGTTCTCCTAGCCACTCCCCCGAAGCTCTGAATTTCCTCTAAAGTCCCTGGCATGTATGAGAAAAGTACTATGTGTGTGGATGTGTGTGTCTGTGCACACACATACACACATACCTGTGTCTGTCTGCATACGTGCAGGCGAATTTATTCCACACCTGTCTCCAGATACACATATCTATACACAGCCTCGCAAATGCTTAGTGACCCCAGAAGACAGGTGGTTGGCTGGAGACCGGGCGGGGGATTGGGCATTGTTGGAGTCTCCGATTGCTGCCTCCTCCGTTACCTGGAGCTGAGGAGGAGCAGTGCTGGGTGCTGCATTTTGACAAACTGATTTGCTAGGCTTCTGTATACATATTGTATCTGGGCTGAATCCCTCCAAGTCAAGCTTGATTCTGATTTCCTAGCCCACACTCCCAAATTCTCCCCTTAGATTTAGCCCTTCCTCAATCCAGAACCGGAAAGGAACCCAAATCGAGAGCCATCTCCCCACAGCTAAAGCTCAGCCACCACCATCACCACCAGACCTCCCCCTCCCCCCCCCGGGGTTTTCTACTCTGACCAGAGGAGTCGATTTCTTTGTAATGTATCATGATCATGACTAATTCTCATCCCAATCTCTCCTCCTTCCCTCCTGCCATCCCCCCAGAGCTCCCATCCCAACCCCAAGGCAGGTTCCTATTGCTGTTCAGATGCATTCTGTGGTTTCCCTCTTGGCTTAATCAGCCTTGATTTTCTTTGTTTTAGGGCAGGATGCTGAACGGGCTACATTAAAAAAACAAACCTCTCTCTATCTATATTTATAAATGAGAACTGTTGGATGACACCTTTGACATATCAGCCAATATCAATCAAGCTGAAGACTCCAGACACTCTGTGTGACTGTAACGTTTCTTCAAGGGAAGTATTAGCGTCTGTGGATTCAGAGGGGCACATGTTTTGGGGAAACAAAATGAATGACACAAAGAAGATGACACAGCAAAATGAGAAAAATTAAATACATACATGCAAAAGGAAAAAAAAAAAAACGAAAAAAAGAAAAGAAAAAGAAAAAAAAAAAGCAACTTTAAAACCATGTGAGACCGGACCGGTAGGCTGAAGGGCTGGGTTCTGGGAGGAGACGCCATGCTGCCCACCGATGCTGGCAGCCCTGGGCGCCCGAGGCAGGAGGAGGCGAGTGGGTGGCTGGCAGGGAGGCCGCTGCCCAGCATCTCTATCTGTCATTCCTTTAGCTATTTAGGGACCAAAGGACCAAACTTTGTATTGCAGATGTGTAGCTCTACATCAGAGAGCGGGGGGAGAAGGGGATCAGCCTCCTTCTTGCCTCCACGCTGTTCCCAAGACAGCTCAGAGCGAATTCTATGAAAATGTTATAAAAAATAATAAACAAACAAAAAAAAAACACAAAAAAACTTTGGAAAAAAAAGTAAAAAAAAAAAACCACAAAAACAAAAAAATCCAACAGGAAAACTTCTGCTTTGATGCTTTTAACACAGCCAGATGATAGTTCTTTGATACTTCGGAGAAGCGCTTGGGTCCCCCTCACCTGAGGGGGCACACCTTCCTGTGGCTTTCCGTGTCGGACGTCTGGACGGAGCTGTCACGCACCGGTGGGTGGAGACGTGGGCCAAGAACTCACCCACCCGGAAGTGAACGAGAACCAGGAGGGGACAAAGAGACTTAGACAAGGCAAGGCCATTGTGGTGAAGTCTGTAAATGCTTCTAACTCTCCCCCCCCCTCTTAAAATCATAATAGTTGTACAGAATTTAAAACAAAAAAAAAAAAGGAAACGTTTAAAATACCTATATAATAGAAGAAACAAAAATTAGAGGAAAGCAAAAAATAAAAAATAAAAAAAGGAAAAAAAAAAAAAACCTATAGAAGTTAGCGTTACTGCTAAAAATCCCAGATGTCGTAGGCCTGTACTTTTTGTAGCGTTTAGACTGAGCATCATCCCTTCTCCCCGCGAAGTGCTTTTGGACGCCGTCGTCCCGGAGGGCCAGGCCGGACTCGCTCCCCAGACCCATCGCCGGTGGAGGCCGCGCCCTTGGCCGCAGTGGCCGCCGTGACCGGGAAGGGCCCTCGCCGTCGCCGCCGCAGCCCTCGCCTCTTGCTTCGCGCCGGGAGCCGCGCGCGCTCGCCGGCTACCCGCAAAGCCCTGGACGCGTCCCGCTTCGCTCGCCTTCCATGCTCGCTCCAGAGACTTTCCCGGGCAAGGGAGAAGTGGGAACTCTTCATCGTCAAACAACTCACACACACACACAAAACCTTAAACAAGAGAGAGAAACAAACAATCTTTGAAGAATTTCTGAAACTGTTTACAAGGAATTTTGAAAAACAGGGATGTTTAAATGATGCCGGCTCTGTTTTTCTGTAAATAAATTTGCATATTTTGTAGGACTTTTAATTGTAATGATAGAGAAAAAAACAAGGAAAACTATTTAATGAAAGCACGATATTTATCTTTGGTAAATGACTTTAGAGCAGTTAAAAGACATTGCTTAAAAAAACTCAGAATCAGAAAAAAACACTGAATTATTTAAGAACACATATATTTTAAAGTAGAACATATTTATTATAATTTATTTGAACCCTTGGGAAGACTGGCTTTTGCTTTCTGCCTGAGGTGGGTCACCTGAAAGCCGGGCGGGGGGAGGGCTCTCCGTCTTACCATTGTTTTAGTTTAGTTTAGTTTTGTTTTCTTTATAAGAGCGAAGTTCTGGCTCCTGCCTTTCCTTTCTTTCCATTCTGTTGGTTTCTTATCACTGTTATTTTTCATGTTCTTTTGCTTTCTCTCGACTCCTCCTTTTAGGATGTCCAGATGTTGTAAAAAAAAAAAAAAACAGCTGCAGTTTAGTACAACTGCTCTTTTCACACTCAACTCCCTAAAACTCCTTGTAACCCTCTGTAACTATTGGATGACGCTTTCTCCAGCTTAGCCCTAAATAAAGCACAGTTTAAAAAAACCACTTTCTTTATTGGGCTGGGCATCTCAGGGTAAGGCTGGCGGTGTCTTGCAGTCCGCATGCTGAATGGCTTCAGTCCTTTGCTGGGTCTGTCTGCCACATGGGGCCATTTCTCGAAGGTGATAGAAAGGGGAAATAGTGTCTTGACTCTGTGTGTTTGTGTGTGTGTGTGTGCGTGTGTCCGTGGAAAACCCATTCTCTGGAGGCCCTGGATGCAGATGGCCCAGTGCCCAAGCATAAGACAAGGGCCAGGGGAGAAGCCTGCCAGCTGACCTGGGGGGTGTGGCCATGTGGTTCCAGGGGAGGGAGGGTTGTTGGGGGGTGAGGGAAGAAGGAGGAAGATAATCTGAGCTCTTCTACCAGCCACCTTGCCCTGGCTTCTGTGACTTCTTCTGTGTGGGCAATTGCTTGGGTGCAGCCAGCGGAGGGTTCTGGTTGATACCCCATGTCAGGATGCTGGTAGGAAGACACTGCACAAGGAAAGGCTTCTTTTTCACACGCGGACAGGAGCCCTGAGGAGGGCTGTCCATACCCTGGGCTGGTTCTGAAGGGTGTGAGCCAGGGCCTGGCGGACAGAAGGGGCTGGTCTCCCACAGGGCCAGCCCAAGCCCATGCACACCAGCTACATGTTGGCCACCCCATCCTCTCTCCCTGCCCCTGGCTCCACAGCCCTCCAACGGTCTGCATTTCTCTCTCTGTGGTTAAGGGTGTGGACGCCATGGGGTTGCAGCCTCCTGAGGAACAGCAAAGGAGTCTTGGTAAGGCTTCCTCACTTGCAGAGTGGGGAGTGGCTCCAGGCTTCAGCCATCTCCCCAGAGAAGGATAGGGGGAGCCCAGGCTGGAGCGCCACCCCTGAGCCCCGATCCCATTCGCTCCTGCTCTGTGTCCTTAGAGTGTGGTTGCTCCCACTGGCCTGTTAGGAGTCAGGCACGAGAGGAAAGGTTTTGTGAATCAGCAAACACAGGCTGAGGTCCAGCCTTGCCTCCCACGTGGAGACAGCTCTGAGAGGGGAACTGGGGAGACCCTCGCTGGCCTGGCAATCTACACCCTCCTCTCCATCATGCTGCCAGCCCAGGTAGCTGTTTGGGGCAGCCTACCCTAGGAGAAACAGAAAGGTGCTTTCTAGATAATTTTCAGTGGGAGGTCTATAGGCTTTGACCCAGCTGACAGGAAGAGTGCAAACTCTGAGCCAGGTGGGACTGTGTCAGGTAGAAGAAATGAGTTCTGCATTTAAATCATACACCAAATCATTAATATATACATAATACCTCTAAGATTCCTTGAAAACCTGCTGGCAACATCAGGTGGCTCTGGATACAGTTCTGGGAAGCTCAGGGATCCTTGCAGCTCATCCATTACCACCACCACCACTGGGGACAAGAAACCCTGCCCTGCAGTATAAAACATGAAGCGTGACACTCATTCCCTTCTGTTTGTGCCTGTGTCTTAGCTGTAGTGTGTTGTGCCTTCGTAGCTCCTCCCTCATTGGAAACCCTTGTGTTTCTTGTTATGAACTTTCTACCTAAACCATCATAACTAGAACTAGAGACACCAGGACATACATGTCTGGATTCCATTTCTGGCTCTGGCTGCTGATTCCAGCTTGCTGTCAGTGCAACCCTGGGAGGCAGCTGGTGATGGCACAAGTAACTGGATCCTGCCACCCACCTGGGACATACATGCCTTGTGTTCCTGGCTCCTGGCTTCGTGCTGGCTCAGCCATATCCATTGCAGGCATTTGGAGAGTGAACCAGCAGATTGGAATGCTGTGTATGTGTGTGTGTGTGTGTGTGTGTGTGTGTGTGTGTGTGTGTGTGTGTGTGTGTGTGACTCTCAAAGTTTGTAGAAAAAGTAGGGCCACTTGCATGAGGAGCTCCCACATGCTCCTCACTCTATCCCACCCCCAGCGTCATCATTTACTTACACATAAGCACCATGAAGATGCCAGGTCATCATCGCTCTCCTCATTGTTCTCCCAGCTACCTGACTGTCTGGTGACTGGCTCTGCTCTGTGGGGCACAGCATGTTTTATATGGCAGCCTGTGAGGGGAACGCACCTCACCGCAGGTTGCATTGGCCCCAGTTTCTCTGCAGCCCCTCACCAGGGCTCTGTGCCCTGGGGTCCCTCCTGCTCTGCATCTGCCCCTGTGTCCTCATGGCCCCTTTCCTTTCTGTATGTACAAAGAACCTGCTTGTTGAGACCTTTCATTCAGTAGCTCCTTCTTGGTTTTCCTCAAGATCTATTTTCCTGTCCTGCCCCCTGCCTCACTCCTCGCTTCATGCAAAACTCCAGGGGAAGCAGATAGGAGGCTTGCCCACCCACTGCTGCCTCTACGGGGAGGCCTCGGGGGTACTGTGCATCTCCCTCCAGGGCCCAGTGTCCTGCAGGGGCTGTGTTCACGCTGACACCAAGTGAAGCCCAGATAAACATGTCCTGTGCCATGGTAAAGTGAAGGACACTGGTTTGGGGAACATTGAGGGCAGCTAGCTGCAGTCTCAGGCTTGGCTGCCAATGCCATTTGCCTGATTCCCAGAAGGGAATGTCCCTGTGACCAAGCCACGTAACCCTCTCTAAGGCTCTATTTCCCTCTCTCTACAATGTGTCCTGTGAGAGGACACAGCCTTGGGATTGAAGCAGTGCCTGAGACAGAGCTGCATGCAGCCACATTCCACACCATGTAGCTTCTACCGTGGCATATGGCAGCATGAACACTTTATCTGTGGCCCCACCTCCTCCCTTTTCTTCACTCCACTTCCCTGACAGTTGACATCCCACAGAAGAAGTTCAAGTCCAGGGCCCTTGGGATGTTCCCCAGGAACTCCTATCCTTTCAGGGACACCACTGTGGCTCCCACTGCCTCTTTTCAGGTGTTCCTGTTAGCTGACAGCCCTGTGCCCCTTCTGCTCCCTGGGCTCCTTCTTTTCCCAACAGCATTGCAGCATCACTTGGGCTGCTGCCGCCCACAACTCCCCTCCTCCTGGTTCATCATAGAGCTGCATGCTGCATGCTGATTAGATAGTTGCGCTTGAGACACTTTCCCTCTGTGCTGGCCTAGGTGATATATTCAGATATTTCAAGCTTCCAAAGTAGGATCAAGGGCAGCAGGA